TCAGAAATTAATTATGTTATTGTGCATGTAGCAAGGATCTGGAGCAACCAATAGTTAAACAGTCCTGTGCATGCTGATTGAATTTCTTTATCAAAGAGCTTCAATACATTTGGGGGAATATATTAGCCTTGCTGAAATAAAGTGAGTCTGAGATGGGAGTGTTTCAGGAGGGGACAGCTGTTAAGAGAGAGCAGGGGAAGAGAGTGTCCTTCATGTAAGTAATAGCGTTCAGTAAGAGCTGAAAACGACACAAAAATAAATCAAAACCCATGTATAATATTTGCAAACATTTATTTTAGTGCAAACTATGTTGACATTCCTGAATATGGATCTGATGGTGCTTGCTAGCTTTGTTAATGAATTTAGGGTGAGTAATAGAGATTGCTGAAAGGCGTTAAGTGACGAGATTCCCCAGAACCACTTTAAAGTTGAGTCATCTACATTTAGTGAGATGATGGATGCCAAGGTCAACTTGCAACAAATCCATCTGTCCTCACTCACTGATGTATTAGTACTGGGCACCTAGATACATGTATAAGTAATTAAGGTGGTACATTCCTCCATAACCTTCTATATAGATATAAAGCTTGGTAGAGTGATTATGATATGCTCCTATCTCTCTAAAATAACACTGTTGTTATAAGAATAAACATTTAAAATAAAGCTAGTTTCTAGTTCATTTATTGTATATGTAATTTATTTAATAATCAAGTGAATATTTGCCTTGTGCTATTAATATGGCCATGCTAAATGCTTTATTGTGGTGATCTATTATTCTGTGGCTCACAAAAGCTCCCATGTGATACAATTTAATGTGACTTCCATTGTCCACTATTAGTGAAAGTAAATAACAATAGGGTAGATGTATGTGAAGAACAGTGCTAATCCAAGGAATAAAATATGAAATGATTAATAAAAATCACAATGCAGGAAAGCCCTTTATTAAAAGATAATTGGTTTGAAAATAAATTTGAAGTAAATCCTAATTTTCTCATGATACTTATATTAAATTATCCAGCATTGTCTCAATGTTATTTTTTATATTTTCTTATAGTTTGGGTGTAGGCATGCATGAACATACACACACACAGACACAGACACACACACACACACACACACACACACACACACACACACACACACATCCCCTGAACTCTCAGCATATGCTAGAATGTGGGTCGCCGAGGTGGTCTTGTGTGCCCTCTCCTTGCATCCCTACAGAAGTTCCTGAAAACAGTGTTACTGTTCTCATCTATCTTTTCAAACAAGAAGTCCTAAACATAGAATAAGTTCCTAGCTCAGGGTCCTGTGCGTAATAAATGATACAAGTGGAAATTGAGCTAAGTCCACCCTAGACCAGAGTTTACATTAGACCAGAGTTTGCATTCGTCATTTCTAAGTTCCTTTGGTGTAGTAAGCACTCTGTCTTTTAATTTGCAAAGATACATACTTAGTGAAGAAGACTTTGAAATTTCAGCGTAATGGCTCTCTGCTTTTGATCATGAGGACTATTTTCTAGCTGAATGGAAGGAGGGATTGAAGAATGTAAAAGTTTTTTTTTTTTAATTTTCATACAAAATAGAATTATAGAAAAGAAGCCAGCAGGTATATAGGGGTAAGCAGAAGAGTGGCCTTTAGTCTAAATCTTCCCTTTATTATGAAATTGTGCTTTTGAGTTTCCTATCAGTATAGTGCTTGTGGTGTATACACAGGACAGAAAAAAGAGTGGAGAAGTAGTCACCAGGTTCATTTCTCTTAGTGAAACTGAGAGCATCCAAAAGTCACCACATACAGGAAAGACCAGCTGGTAAAATGCTAGTGTCCAGGTCTCACTGTGTATTGAGAAAGAGCAAATTGCATGATTAATTCAAATCGTGAATAATTATATCTATATTATATTTATTTCACTGAAAGTATAAACATTTAGATGAATACCTTTGAGCCAATAATGAAGCACTTATAAACATTCATACTTAAAAAGCTTTGGTAAGTAACATCACTAATATTAATTTATATGCTCAAACATTGTAAGACAGAAGGGAAGCATGAATATGGGGTGAAAATGTCATTATGAACAGGAGACCCTGGTTTTGGTATGGTAGATTGATACATTCAGTTAACTTTTCTCTGGATGTCTTGTAATAGAAACAGTAGCATACACAGGCAGGGGTGGTCCACGCCTTTAATCAGGAGGCAGAGGCAGGCAGATTTCTCTGAGTTCGAGGCCAACCTGTTCTACAGAGCAAGCTTCAGGGAAGCCAAGGCTACTCAGAGAAACTGTGTCTTGAAAAACCAAACCGACCAAAATAAACAAAACAAAACAAAACAAAAATAAAAAAGAAAAGAAAAAAAGAAGAAAAAGAAACAAAGAAACAGTATTGTAATAAGAACCACACATCCTGTGTCAGGGGTCTAGAAGCCGGGTTATAACCGGCTTTGCCATTTAACCAAGTGTGTGACTTTAGCAAAGAAGTTAATTCTTATAACTGAACTTCCTCAAATTTAACATAGGACACTCTGTTCCATGTGGAAGGAATGAAGAAACTGTCACAAAAATGATTTTTAAAAGGTCATATTCAGCCAGGTGTGAAAACTCAGGCCATGATCCCAACACCTGGGAGCCAAAGGTGGGAATTTGAAACCAACCTGAATAAAATCCTGTCTCAACATACAGTAATTACAATTAAATAAATACATAAATAAGTAGGTAAATAAATAAATAAATAAATAAATAAGAAACAATATACCAGGAAACGTAAGCCAATGTTATTTGCAACATGGCTTCATTTGGTTAATTCTGAAAGAGAGCATCAAAATTCCCAGATAGGCTTTCCGTTTTTCCCTTGTTAGTTCTCTAGTCTGGAACATTCCTTATTTGGTGTGAAGTATTTCATGTGCATTGAAGAACAAAGGAACTAAAAAGAGAAAATTAATAATCGTCTCCACTAGTCACAGTCGCGTGGCTGCTCCAGCCCCTTGCTTATACGTTCCCTTGTTATTGACATTCTTTACTGAAATAGCTAAAACAAAAAACACCTTAATAATCTTCATAAATCCCAACGAGCAAGCAGAAAACAAACAGATAAAAAATAAAACAAAACAACAGACCTTACACACAGCGCTTGCTTGGTACTGTTAGGGTGAATGAACTTCTGGGGATAGAGAACATAAAAGGTGAATTAGTTCCTTTTCCCGTCGTTGTGACGAAACACTGGACTAAAGCTGCTTAAGGAAGGAAGGAAGGGTTTACTTTTGGCTCAGAGTATAAGGTTACAACAACCCTTTATGGTGGGGACACAAAAGTCGGAAGCAGCTGTTGATGGTGCAGACCGCAGACAGGAAGTGGAAGGAGGCTGTGCAATGTCAGAGCCCACAGCTAATGATTGACTTCTTCTAGCAAAACTTTACATCAAAAGGTTCCTTCCAAAATGGTACTACCACCTGGGGACCGAATATTTAAACATGTGAGCTAGTGGGAAGGTTCACCTTCTAACTCCAACCAATGGGCATTCTCTTTCTCT